GAGAAAAATGTTGGCACCGTTCCCGGCTGGTCAGAACGAACGGAGGACGGCCGCACGTGACCGAGAGGTCGCGAGGCCCGTCCCGAGACGAGGCGGAACGTCCCACTCGACCTTCAAATAGACGTTCCTCTCATCGAAACACCGTGACGTTATCTCGACCACAGGAGAAATAGCAAATCGGACGACGACCCACGGGGCTTCGGTTCACACATTCGTTCTTACTTTCTGAACGTTACATAATATAATAGAAAGCGTGGTAGTAGCATGGCATGAGATTGCGGATAGTAATTTTGCAGCACGGTTGAATTGATAGTAGCATTCCGGAGTTACAATGATCAGGAGTGATAATGATTGATTGACACCATGCCTGCTACTTCGGAATGTTCGATGCATCATGATGTTATATGATGATAATGTTCGACTTAATGATGTTCGATCGTAGTTTTACGCTGCCATTATCAAATGTTGCGGCGCAAAGGAAAAAAGTTTCCTGTGATTACCTATCCGATGCCTTCTACAAATTTTCATCGAATTACCAAATTCTTTACAGCATGCGTCTAAACTTGCAAGTGAAGATCAAATAAGAATAAAGTCACAGTCGCAGCTCAATCTTGCAAGAGCAGCATAATGAAAATGAGCTTTCGGCGAGTTCTATGATGTCTAATGCAATCCAAATGAAATAAGCTGTTTCCCGTCTGTAAGCATTTGCATACGCTTAGCCATGCAAAGGTTGCTATAATATTACATTAATAATTTCGTTGCTTTCCGGAAACAGTTGCCATAGAGGCGGGCGAAAACACGGTCAATCGGTGCCTGGATCTGTTTCTCTGACGGCAGCTTGTATAACACTCCGCAAAAGCCGTATTACCAGCTGACGGGCGTACAAAAGGTGCCCGCATGTAATATTCAGCAGGCACCGGAAATGCGTTTATGGATAGACTGGTGAGAATGGGAGCCGAGCCACAGAATGCGCACATGGATACCATACGGTATGCTTTATTATGCTTTATTATCCCGGGTGAGCGGAGGCAAAACCCGTAATAACATAAAATACCAATTTCTCCTCTCTCTTATCAGGCAAGGATCAAATACATGTAAATGTCCATAACGCATTAAAGCTCGGCGCTGCATAGGAACAGTATGTTCCGGACACGTCTGTTACCATGCTAGAACACATCAGCATAGAAAGCCATAGCATTTCCCACCAGCCTTACTCGAAATATCCAATGCATTTACATTCCAGACTACGGCTATTGGCTCCTGCACACCTGGGACTGTGCCAAATCAGCTCATTCCACTGCGGGATTATTCACGCGGCCCATCTATAAAACACCATCTCATTCACTGAGAGCGGGCCTCGGTGGCGTGGTTAGGGTGGCGTCAGAGACCTCCGGGAGGCTGGTGCTACCGGCCAGCCGCGCGCCGGTCCCACCGCACAGAAACGGACTCTGACCGGCTCCGAGATATCGCCCGACTGGGCGAGCTGACGTCGTTAGTTCGCGGGCTTGAGTGTCCACTATTGGAACAATGCGGTCATAGAGCATGCGACGACTACTGTTTGTTTTATCCATCAATTGCAATACACAAGTGTTAATTAATAAAGATCAATGCAAGTAAAATTGCGAGCATTTCCGACAAAATCCTGACAGGAGAGCACAGCAAAGATAGTGCAAGCTCTAGACCAAAGATCAAAGACCCACGATAGAGGTCATCATGCCAATCGATGGCGAATCCGCACCCACGCGAGCTGGATGGCGAGCAGTGCGAACCGGTGCAATCCAGTAGTAACCGGTTTGTTTGCCACCCCGGGCGCCCGGCTACAGCGCCACCGTGACGACCCCGTCCGATCGCACGCGTAGGTCGAGAGCTCAAGGCTACGAGCGGGGTGTGCCAAACACTCAACTCGTGCTGATCGCTGCAGCCTAGCCCAATATCGAACGGTGTCGACAGTGCCCCTTTCCAGTCTCATCTCCACGGCGATCACAGGACAGGACCACCACAGGGTAACAGAGCCAACGGCCCGCCCCTCCCGTTCGGCCTGACGCTGCCGTCACAGTCACTGATGAATAATACAGAGGAGGTGGGCCGTCAGACGGCGGCCTGCCAGCGGCGCGGGACGCCCAAAGGACCGGTCAGCACGGCAGCCGGCCGGGCGAGACCCGGTCCCAGTGCGGGACGTTTAGCAACGCTCCCCGGCCAAGACTGTCGGGTCTAACCGCGCCGACTCTGAGAGGGAAAGTGGCTGAGGATGGAATATTGCTTATCCGGCCAGAGAATAATGGTTACTGGCGGTTGAAGGTCAGAAGGTGCTGCTTACCGATGCAGTAGCCGAGCAAAGAACAGCTCAACGGCAGTGGCAGCTGGGCTGCTTCTAGCATTGGTGGATAGGAAAAGGAGACTTGCCGTGCCGGTCGTGTCCCCCCCCCCCACCCCCCCCCCCACCTCTGACCCTACGGCAGCTCGAGCGTCGGGAAGCTTATGCAACCGTTTACAGTGTAGGGTACCTATGCCATTAAGAGGTTTTCAAAGTTCCTTAGAAGACAAGGCCCTTAAAAACCGTTAGACGCCTGGCGATCAGGTAGACGGACACATCTTCGATCTTTTGGAAGTTTCGTGCCTCCAATGATCGAATGTGGCGATCGGAAGGCAATTGATTCCGGTATCGCCGTGAGCGTGCAAAAACAGTCATCGATCCCGTAATCGCGATACGGTAACGGTTTCCGTGATAGGGCGCCGTAACGAGAAAAAAAACTGCTGGAGGGAAACACGCCGTAGCATTGTCGATGATAACTGCATTGCAAATGGTATGGCAGTCAAAGCAGCCGAAAGCGAATGTTTGCGGAACTCGGCTGTTCATTACGTAACATATGTCCATGCGATCTGTGACATTCGTTTGAAGTTCCAACCATTAGGTATTCTGATTATATCTAATTTCTATCGAAAATGCTTTGAAGTTTAGCAGCTTACCACAGTAGATAATGAAAACGTTATACTTCTGGAATGATGTATAACGTTTTCCCAAGTGATACTTCTATATGATGGGGGACCTAGCTACGAGCCCGAATATTTCTGGAAAATCACAATATTCGATTCAGCTGCAGGCCAGACTTCCAACTAAGTGTTATCACTTGGGGTAACAGTTCTGTACCTTATATACACAGACAGACGGAAAAACACGGAATGATTGCTTGACAGCACGTAAAGCAAACATGCGGGCGCAAACATGTTTGTGCCACGGTCGCATGAGTTTCTGGAAATCATCCGTGATGAAAAAAAAAACTGAAGTAATAAAACATGCTGTTACTGACTCGACCATCGATCGCCGGCAAAAGTCTGCTTATTAGGCTGGGGGAGGGTGACTGAGAAGTGTTAAGTTAATTGCCTTCGGGCCTACCCCAAGGACTGACAACTGTAAACGACCACCGCTGGTACTGCACCCACAGGACATCACGGAACACATGGCCAGAAGCTTGGCCAGAAAGGCTTGGACTGCATAATACACAGCCGACTGGTGAATCCCGGTCAGCATGAATTATGACTGCAGTCGGACCACGAGCCACCCTCGTGATAGGATTTAATGCATGCACGAGGGGGTTGGGGGGGAGGGGGAGACACTGACATACCTGCCCGGCCACCGCACCCCATGCTGCCCACGCCACAGACCCCTCCCCTCCGCCCCTCCCCGTCCGACCGGGCGCCGACCAGCACCGAGATATGACGTCACGGGTGACATCACCGTGTCATGTGACCTTACCGTGACCGGGCGCCATCACTAACCGTGGGCGGTCATCAGCCAAATGGCCATCGACCGCAGACGCCGCCCATGGCGGGTAGGTCACGTGACAGTAGCCCCCCCCCCCCTCAGTTAACTACTGAAACCACTCAACGGCTGATGCTTCCTCCACGCCCAGTCAGAAGAGGCTTGACAGTGAAACGCGAAGACTACGCCGAAACTCCCTAAAGCGCAGTCCCAGGTCATGGCTATTTCTGTGGTATTTCGAGACATCTGCGCCCCAACTGTCCACGTCATTTCACGACTGTCAGAAGACCACTGTGGGACGTAATTGGTCTCAACTTGGATCTCAGCGCGACAGGAGAGTTCCGTTCTACAACCGTAAAAGCGGCCCGTGGGACGCGAAATGTTGGCTTGGTAAGCCCACTGCGCCCATACACCCCCACGGGCCACGGCTATATCAGGCCGCTGTGGCAGTTACGTCATCCCTCGCACAGCTGGTATAACACGCCCCTGCACCTTTGTCTTGGACACCGCAGAACATGTTTATCGTTCCATGGTTAACATACACTCGGGTCATGTTATGAAGGTCCACATTACCCACGCCGCGGTGCCAGCGGGAATCAATGAATCAAACAGGGTTCATTGTTTGTTGATGACTATCAGCTGGCCCAATATCCAATGACGATAAATAAACCGCACATTTTGGCACGCGAGCTCGTTGTAAGAAGCAACACACTACGTGCAGCACTGGAGTCATGAATCATCGCATGTTAGACCTAGCTCATGGCTGAAGATATGGTTTGCGTACCCGATCACAGGCACCTGATGTGATAGGTTTCTGTCTGGCATTTTTTTTTTCGCTTCATCTTGGTAGCCATGTCCCGATTGTGCGGTGCATTGTGTTTATTTATTCCTTTCTATGCGTAATGGAGGCCAGCGTGTATTGTTTTTATGAGCCGTATTTGTCATATAACGTGTCACGGTTGTTACTAGAACAATGGTGCAGTAACTCACTAATCTAATAATGTACGACGAATCTGTTGTCGTGTCGGTGTCATTTTCAAAGCAATTCGATCACCGCAATTACATCGTTAACTCATGCAGTGACGTGTAGCATTACATAACTGAAGGGCAATGCCATGAATAAAGAAAATGAATGCTTTGAGTGACGTTCAGATTTCAGGGGCGCTCGGATCACATCATACACATCCCAAAGTTACCGAGACCCCATTCCGCCATCTCCCTCTCCGCCAGCAGGACTCACCTGGTTGGTGAGTGCCACGAACACGGCCAGCAGGTAGACGTAGGAGAACCAGGCGTAGCTGTCCTGGATCTGTGCCTCGGTCAGCGTGCTCAGCTGGTACAGCATCCGCAGTAGCGGCAGCAGGATCAGCGCCATGTTGTCGCCATTCGTCTCGATGAAGTCGTGGCGCGTGATCGACGTCGGGTCAATGTGGTGCTCCCGGAACGGACGCAAAAAGTTCTGCGCGCGGAACGGGGAGGAGTGTTAATTTTTGTGAGAGGAGATGAGAAAAGGAGTGCCATTGCATTTTTCATGTTTTTATAGGTATCCAAATTTATAGCAAAATCAGCATAGTGTCAATACAAGTAAAGATGCATTGTCCAGCATAGGTTTTGTGCAATATTCATTGGATGCCTACAGGATTCTATGCATATTTCCAGGTACTCATGTGCAAGGTAATAGATATTGGAAAGTCATCAAAGTGAATGCATCTAATCATTTATGATGCTTAGGAATTAGTAATTACAGCAGAAATCCCTGTGATGCAGCTATGTATGGTTGTGCAGACTGCTAACCTTTCCCAGAATGGGCATATCAATGGAGCCCCAGGTGTCAGCTGCCCAGTGGACAATGCCTGAGCTGAAGTCAGCAGAGAGCATGCCCAGCAGGGCACAGAGCACCATGGAGGGCACTGCCTCCCAGCTCAGATACTTCACCATCAACACAAAGTTCACAGCCATCAGCATGATGCCCAGAGAAAAACAGATGATCTCTTGGAGTCTCTTCCCTGTGAAAGAGATGAAATAATATATTTACAATGAATGAAACACATGCAACTCAATATCTATCCATGCATGCATAAGTACTTTGAACTCTTGCTGAAGGTTCCAAATGAAATGCCAAAATATAAGTCAAGCAAGTCAATGTTGTATTGAAATTATGGATAAGAAAGACTTCAAAATTACTGATAATACATGGAATACCTAGGTAGGCTTGTACTGCTGTGTGTAGATAATGATCACTGAAGTCTGAATCCCAATACCCTAATTGGCATATTCAGAAGACAGGCATCTGGAAAAGTGGAAAATAAGATACTACACTCTGACTTGAAGGAGAAATGAAAGAAACATGCATATAATAGATAAATCAAGCTCTTACCTGAACTGTACAGATTGGCCAGTTCCTTTGCACCCTTGTGATTTGGACCCCATCTTGGTTTGCTTTCTTCCTCTTTAGTTATATCTGTATTGGAATTTGGATCTCCTTCAGGCATAGAGTTGGTCAGAATTTCCTTTGGAGATTTGTCACTGGGGAAAGACTCAGCTTCTGACACATTCATGGTGTTTTGCAGCATCTTGATTTGTTGCACAGCTGTGGAAGTTCAAGTGTCTTGTACCAGTACGTGCAAGGCAAATGAAGCGCAGCTGCTATCACGAGTCTGACCGAATACAGACCGAAAAATGTATCTAGTCACCGATTTTCAAAAGTTTCACAAGCACGACACCATCCAGAGACACAACGGGAGCTCAATGAACCCGTGGAGGAGCCCCGCCCAGCGCACGCAGCCTACCCCAACGCACGCCACCGACGAATGGCTGGGATGTTTGTCGTCACATCACCCGGCTGAAGGTCATCATAACAAAAACTCTGTTCAACTGTCACATTGGCAGCAGTCAAGTGCGACTGGTACGAAAAACAGCAAATCACCAGCAGCAGAATAAGTGTGTCAAATGAACTCTCGGCGTTGATTCGGTGAAATTTCTTCAGAATGTAAATCTGGTAGTCCTTAGAACAGAATAGGGTACCGCCCAGTGTCGCACTCGCGCCATCTTCGCTTATTTTGTTGCATTTCTGTCGCCGATTGCCGTATTGTTGCCGTATTGCAGTGTTGCAGCCTTTGCAGCTGGGCTTTTTGCAGAATTTATTAGAGGGTGAGTGTTTTAGTGCTATTTGCTGCTTAATTGATTTATATAGGTACCAACCGTACCAACCACTGCAGCCTATCAGTAGCTTGAAAAGGTATTCAAAATTTATCAGTTCAAGTTTGGTGATCATGATTGTCTGAGTGTGGCATTCCTGCTAGAACATTGATTTGTTTTTCTCAATCTGTTTCATTGCATGTGTAATTTGCACATCATTAAACATTTTTGGAATGTTATGATTTGCAATCGAGATCAGTCGGGGAAACTATGGTAAAATCTGCTATTTTTAGCTGTCTGCTATTTTTAGCAGAAATCTGCTAAAAATGGGTACGCATGTGACGTCATCGTACCCAAATATAGCAGATTTGGGTACGGCCCCCGACAAAAGCAGATATGCACCCTAATTGAAGCAAATGCGCATCAAATGCCTGGCAGATTCATGATTAGAATAGTGCTGAGAATGTCCTCTGATATTTTTGTTCAGATCCGACTATTTTCAAATAATGAATTTGAAAATAGTCGGATCTGAACAAAAATAGCAGAGAACACTCTCAGCTCTATTCTCATCATGAATCTGCCAGGCATTTGATGCGCATTTGCTTCTATTAGGGTGCAGATCTGCTTTTGTATGGGGCCGTACCCAAATCAGCTATATTTGGGTACGATGACGTCACATGCGTACCCATTTTTAGCAGATTTCTGCTAAAAATAGCAGACTGCTAAAAATAGCAGATTTTACCATAGTTTCCCCGACTGAGATTAGTATTTAGTAGGCTGAGCTCATCGCGGGGATCATTTTATATGAAGGGGATGCATGAATTTTTTGTGATTATTTGCCCTTGTTGGTGTTCTTATGGTGTGCCATTATAAGAATATTATTAGGTAAAATTGTTGCTTTCTGGAAAGCAAAAGTTTTGCATTTACACATAACACAATGGCTTAGGTACCTATTTATTGTTAAAATTGTCATTTAGCTTTATTTTTTAAACAAGCTTCTCAGCCTTTGCCAGTGTGCCTATTATTCCAGAGAGTAAATTTCAGCATCACTTTCATTATGTAAATTCAGTCCAAAATATTATATGCATAACATATATGGGATGTGTGTGCTTTTTGATGATAGTATTGCAAGCAAACACAGTTTGATTTGATTAGGCTTGATAAATTAATATTCATGTCTGTTGGCTTCCCAAGGAATTGACTTCCAAAGAACTTCATATCATACTTACAGTTCATTTGATGAGCTGGTAGGCCATAACACTTGCATGAGTTTTGATGCAGTGAGTAAATACTAAATAATATGGAGGTGTCAGGCTGATTCATGCAGTTGAAATTTTACAGGTTATGTAATTCCAACCAGAATGCTGATTGCTCAATTATGTTACCCATTATGCCTGTTTCAGGTACAATGGCTGACTCTCTGGTCTCCTGTGACACCTTTGTGGCCTTGCCTCCTGCTACAAACAGAGGCTTCATTGTGTTTGGCAAGAACTCTGACAGACCACAGGGTGAAGTGCAGGAAGTGCTACACTTCCCTGCTGCCACTCATGAGGCAGGCTCCAAAGTACAGGCAAGTACAGGCAATCTACCCAGCACCTTTCTTTATGTCCCTTGAGGCTGCCCCCAAGGCCAGTTAAGTCACAATCTATATCCCACTGTTTATTCAAGAGGCTGACTGCAATATCTTCATTTGCCATGAACCCTACTAAGCTAAAAATCACAAGCATCCTTAGCAAAGTGGTCATTACTGCAGAAGTGCAGACAGCCATGAATTCATTATTCCACTTTTCCAAATTAAAGGCAAGTGATGCCTACCATTTGCTGGCCTGGTTCTCTCCACCTCTCTTCTCTCTGTCTCCCTCAACCTCAAGTCTCAATAGCATTCATCTAACCCTGTTCATGGTCACACCCACAGTGCACCTACATCGAGATAGACCAGGCAGCCTCCACACACGCTGTGGTGCTCAGCCGACCGGCCTGGATGTGGGGTGCCGAGATGGGCGCCAACGAGCACGGTCTCTGCGTGGGCAACGAGGCTGTCTGGACCCGGCTCCAGTCGGATGACGATAAGACCGAGAAACTGCTCGGCATGGACCTGGTCCGGTAAGTGGAGCCCGGTGGTAGGCATCGTTATCTGCAGGAAAAAGCTCCCAGCGGACAGCGAGTGACTGTCACTAGGATATCTGATAAATGGGCTTTTATTTATGTGAATAGGTACTGCTATATTTACAGTTTGAGGAATTCTTGACCAGATAAATCAAGATATGTAATTTCCTTTACCAGGAAAAAAATAATGTAAAGTAAATTCGTGTTAATGCGCTCAGTGCTGTTGTCTGAAAGACGAAACTCTAATATGCAATTGTTCGGTGTTGTCATTTTCCCCTCCGTTTTACCGGCAGTCTGGCGTTGGAGCGTGCGGCCACTGCCCGTGAGGGCTGTGAGGTCATCACGGCCCTGCTGGCGGCTCACGGCCAGGGCGGTGCGTGTTCGGACACGGACACCAGCCTGGTCTATCACAACTCGTTCCTGCTGGCCGACCGCGCCGAGGCCTGGGTCCTGGAGACGGCCGGACACCTGTGGGCCGCCAAACGCATCACCGGTGAGTGGCGAGGACGAGGCCGAGCTCAGAGAAATTTTGAGAAGATAGCCAGCAACAAGAGGCCTCTGTAATTTGTATGTATAGTTGTATACTGTGTTCTATGCTCTTGCGATGGCGATGGCATAATAGTTTCTTTTTTATTATTTGATTGGCGTTATCGACCGTTTTCCGATTGAAATTAAGTAATGATTTTTCAGTCATTTCCTTCCGGTGACCTTTTAGCGTTTTTATGCATTGCGTGGATCTCAATCAATCGTTTAATCATCAACGTGTCATATATTGTGCATTGTGCAATTGCATGTTCCTGCTGTTTGTTCGCTCTGGCGCCTGGTTAGTGACCAGTCGGCAGTCAGTAACATTCCCCTCCCTGCGTTCCGCCGCAGCTGGAGTGGCCAACATCAGCAACTGCCTGACCATTGATACGGAGATGGACCTGCAGCACCCGGACCTGCAGTCGGAGGCCAAGTCACGCGGACTCTGGGACGGCAGCGGAGAGTTCAGCTTCAAAAAGGTGCGGGAGGCGGGGCGCAGCTGGGAGGTCAGAGCGGGGCCTTCGAATGGGCTTTGAATAGTTTTAGGTAGTTCGACTTAAATGGTCGAGTCAAAATGAATCTAAACGCCATTTGAAACTGCCAAGTAAGATGTTATTTCTTGTGGCTTCTTATCATTGCGCTACTTCGTAGTGATGCGTCGTTTTGGTTGTCTGCTTTCCTTCTCGAGATGTACTTGAAGATTCTATAAGGTTTTAGATGTCGCTGCTGCGGAAAGTCATTTATTTCGCGTGGCCGCAACATTACCCTGATGTCGACGAAATTTATAGCGCCATGCTCTCCGTAATTTGAATTTCAATTGGGTAATTCCGCTGCCAATCTGCTGCCATGTCCGATCTGATGCATGATCGGACGCCGCTGATATGGTCTCCTTAAATTGATTTCCTTTAGTGGCTTGGGAAGACATTCCGCCTCTTACTCCATCTTCATTTCAGGCATTTTATGTATTTTGCTTCCACTTTGCAGTTAATTTGTCCGATGTATTGTTGTCCGATGTATTGTCCGATGTATTGCTGTCCGATGTATTGTTATTTCGCCCTGCTGTGTTGGTAATGGTTGATGATAAAGTCTAATCATCGAACACATCATTATAATTCACCAATCACAAGCACTAGTTATAAGCACCAATCACGCTGCCCCCGTTTTCGGCAGGTGTTTGCAATGGATGGAGAATGGAAAGGCTGCAGTCGCCTCACCGAGGGGCGCAAACTCATGGAGAAGCTCGCTGCCGACGGTAAGCAGCTGCGGCGCTTACCGTCGGCGCTGAACGATCACCGTTATAGGGTGGAGTGTGCTTTAGTTTCCTTTCATCGCGACTGCCTGCTGCTGCGACAGGCTAACTGCAACTATCCGTTCTGATGTATGTGCGTTGGTGTGTTGAGATGTTGGCTGTTGACCTTGTTGACAAGGTTTCTGTGACCTGTCGATGTGATTTATCGATTTATTCCCGTGATTTTTAGCACACGGCGGCACTGGCTGCCTGACAGCCGATAACTGCCTGTTTCGATTCGACCCGATTATTGCTTACTTTCCACAAATCGGCATTCTAATCTTTCAAGCTCGATAATGATTTAGATTATTTAGGTAGTCTAGTTCTTGGCTGATATCTGTTTCCCGCTACTCATTTCCGATGATTATGTGATAATCATCTCACTTTTTTTGCTTATATTGTCAACTAGCCGCCCCTGCTCATTCCATGATGCTTATTACTCGTAATACCATCCCCAATCCCCATTGTATCTAACACATTCTTTTTTCTCCCTCACAGGCAAATTTGACGTGGAGAGCATGCTGACGGTTCTGCGGGACGAGCCCTCTGGCATCTGTCGTCCGTACGATGACGCCTTCCACACGGCAGCCAGTCAGGTCAGTCACCGCCGAGTTCCTTAAGGTTTAGCTGCACTATGCGGGATTCTGTGTCCGTGATCTGCGTGTTTGCGGGTTTTGCAGAAAATCGGTACGCAGGTCAAGTTCAGCTGATAGGAAATACACAGGGTCGGCTACACTGGGGTCACGCAGATTCAGTCAAGGAAATCCGGGACGTTCAGTACAGGAAATGCT